ACCCTCACCCCCTCCCTCACACAAAGCCAGTCACTGCACGTCCCCTTCTCCACAATTTGTTGGACACGGCGGCGTCCCGCTCAGACAGACGAGCCGCCCGTGTCAAACTGCAGTAAAACAAGATAAAAGACGCTCTGATTTCACCACAAACTTTAGGATTTTTAAAACACGATGCTCGTATTAAGCGTCTAGACAAATGTGTAAATATATAGGTTTTTTGATCACAGGCTCTTATTCAGTTGGAGTTGGTTGCTGTTGGTGTTATTATCGTTTATCTGAATGCCTTTTAGTTGCACTCATACCCAGCCCCGTGGATGTCTCCTTTCAGAAAGCCTCGTATGGAATGATTCATATGCTAATGGTTCTTGGGTAATGCTTTTATTAGGATGCTTGTTACCTTGTCAAAGGATTTTTGTCAAGATGCAACAAGCCGCTGATTAAAAATGATTTGATTTCACTTGACTTGCATTTGCTTTTTAATCACCAGCTTGACATAAGAATAATGCCGTTTCATACAACACATCTAAGTGTTTTTGAGCAAAGTAACACTCCAGTTCTGTGCGTGTGTGTGTGTCTGTGTGTGTGAGGAGCATGCATGAGTGTGTGCAGACAGCTTTTATCTCTTTCTTTTTGTTCACGCGAGCTCAAACAAACGAGGTTGTGTTTTTCATGTTTGCAGCCGCGAAGGGAAGACTGTAACAGCGTGAGACCCGAGGACTGGAATCCCCGGATCCCCGTAGGCATCTCACCTGTGAGCAAACGGCTTCACCCTCTCACCCTCCGCCTGCAGCACACTCACAGACTAAAAGACCTCATGCACCACCGGGCCAGTCGACGTCCACAGATGATTTAACTTTTGGAGCTGATCCATTTCAGCTGACCTCAGAAAACAAACGTTTCTAACTCTGCCAGTTTTATAGATTTAAAGCTAAACTTTGATGTGATTGTACACTACTGGACTCAAACCTGTTTATGTTAGCAAAATATCTCATAAGCTCACAGAAAGTACTAATTGTACAGATACAATTCAAGATGGCTGCCACAGCTAATCAGCTTTGGTCTACACAAAAAATACTTGTAATTTAATGAATTTGACAGACATTGAGCTGATCTTTGGTGTGGTAGTAGCTGAGAGTCATACACAACACATACTCAAAGCATCAGCAGGTCATGTGGAATACCACAAGATAACACACAATTTAAGATTTGATCAAAACAACTTCCATCTCCATCTTTTCTCAACATAAAATGATCTAAAGTCTAAAAAAATGCTAAAATTTAATTAATCTCTTTTCTCATTTTTCCTTGTTTCAAGGTGAAACCGGCGCCTCTACCAAGCGAGTGGAACGGCAAAACGGAGAACTGCATCCTCAACATCAACTCTAACATCTACGATGAGATCCAGCAGGAGATGAAGAGGGCCAAAGTGTCCCAGGCTCTGTTCGCTAAGGTGGCTGCCTCCAAGAGCCAGGTACCAAAACACCCACCAACCCAACACCAAGAGAAAACACAAACAGAGCGTTTGATTGTTGCTTAAAGGTTGTGACCAATAAGTCCCAGTTTAGTTAGCCGATTACAAACTTAGCTTCAGACAGAGACTAAAGAAATGAACGCTAAGCGCTAAAGGTCAGTGAAGAAGCTAAAATTGAGGTGTTACAGCTAACAGAAACAGAACACTAGCTACAAGCTTAAAAAGAGCAAAATGTTGGTTTAAACAACAAAAGGTTAGCTAAAAATGGAAAAATGTTGCTGAAAGTACAAAAATAAGTTGTAAAATGGTAACGAAAAGCAGCAAACTGCTAGCTAAAAATAACAATAAGTTACTAAATGCTAAAACTAGTGAAAGGCAAGCTAGAAGCTAAATTAATATGCATGCAGTTAAAAACAAACAGTATCAAAAGGCTAAAAGAAACAAAAGGCTAGCTAAAAGTAGCGATAATTAGCTAAAAACTAAAAGTAGCACAAGGAAGACAAAAACAAAGAGTGCGCTTTTTTTGAAGGAATTGATCTGAGTCCTTCTGTGGGGAAAAAATAGTTAATCATGTAAAGTTAGCACAAAGCTAAACAATTGGTCTTTGATGTTCATCCTGTAGCCAGTTGGAGCTGTTGAAAGTTGATGTAAAGAAGCCGGTTCAGTAGATTGATTAGTTTGCTTGTTTCTGTAAAATAATCAGTTTGAACCGTTTATTACAAGCAGTTTTTAATATCTGTGGGTTTATTAAGAAAAGCTTGAGAACCTTTGATCTAATAGCAATAATCAGGACTGTTTGTGTCCAAATAAACTAATCCTCGATCTTAATTTACCTTTTTCAAAACAATCTGATTGCACACTTCCAACACCACTGTGCTAAAGTTCATATAAATCATCCAGATATAGAAGGATGACTCATAAATGAGCCAAAAGTTTCAGTTAAATAAGTAAAAGCCAGTTTTAGTTGTAAATAAGTGACTTGACAGCATCAGATCGATGAGTCATCAGCGTAATGTTGAACATCTTCTTTATTGTGGGTTTGGAGTTCAGTGGCTGACGATGTTTCAACACCAAACAAACCTGTTTATATTAGCTTTGCTCTGTGAGATGATGGGGGGCCCCCGTCATCTTCTCACACAGAACAAGCCTGTGTGTGCTGGAGACAGAAAACTACAGAACACACACCACCAGTTTAACTTTTTATTAAAGCAATTAAAGCGGCGAGGACTCGCGATTAAAGGTTTTCATGAGTCTGTCGCAGGCAGAGCTGGAAAGATTTCCACAATCGTGCCTGATGAGGAGGATGGGTGGAGAAACAGATCACCAAGGGCGGAATAATCTCGAAATATCTGCAAAGGCTTTATTTTTTTCTTGCTGATTAGGATGATTATACCCCCAGATAGCTTTGTTTTACCAAATTGCAGTTTGATGCACAAACCACTGTTTTTGTTAAAGAGTTCAAAGACTCCTTGGAATGACGGAGAAAGAGAAAAGGGGGGGAGTGTGAGTCTCCCCAAATGACGGTTTGTCTGGGAACTGGTTTCCACTGTGCCTTCTCCACCTTCCTCCCATCCCTCCGTCTTGCCCCTCTACCTCTGCCTTTCCCCCGATTTCTGCCTCTCTTTCACGTTCCATTCATGGCAGGCGGGTGTGAATGTGAATTGAGCTGCAGATAAGAAGTGTGCTAATTATGCCTCTGAAAAGGGGCCTGTGAGAGCACTTATCTCTGGCTCTATCTCGTAATGGGCGCTTCCCGGGCAGCTGGTCTCCCCCCTTACCTCACCAGCCGCCATCGCCACAGCTACCAGCACCTCCGGACCAGCCAGTGCTCCAACCAGAACCTCAGAACCTCAGAGGCTTCCTTTAGGTGTCAGCGACACAAAGTCTTTAGGAATCCCACCGTTGATTATTTTTCTAATAAAACAAGCCGGTAAATTCTGTTTAAATTTCCCTGATTTCACTAAAGTTCATCGATCTGTAGAGCGATTACATGCCTTACATTTGATCATTTCTTTAAAAAAATCTGTAAAAAATAAATGTTACCAACAAACAAGTCAGGCGTAGGAAACAGTTTAGCTTTTAAACAATAAAACATTCAGTGTTTCAGCTGCTTATATTACTCTGATGTTTTTTCTTCATTGTAAATTACAGAAATTACATTTAAGGTAAATGATGTGCTGATAAAAGCTAAAAAAATGAAAAATGTTAGCTAAAATTTAAAAGTAATAACAGGCTAGCTAAAAGAAATAAAATGCAGCTTTAAAGTATCTAAAAGTACCAAAGGCTAGCCAGATGCTAAAAGCAGTAAGCAGCAAAAAGCTAGCTAAAACTGCAAAAAGGTATCTTAAAGCAAAATATATCAAAAGACTAGTTAAAAGTGAGAAAAAAGCTAACTAAATGCTAAAAGCAGCTAAAAGCTAAAAGTATCAAAGGCTAACCAGATGCTAAAAGCTGTAAACAGTTAGCTAAAAATGGCAAAAAGCTAGCTAAAATTCCAAAAAAGTATCTTAAAGCAAAAAATAAAAGACTAGTTAAAAGTAATAAAATGCTAACCAAATGCTAAAAGTAGCTAAATGTAACAAAGGCCAGCCAGATGCTAAAAACAGCAAAAAGCTAGCTAAAAAAACATAAAAAGCTAGCTAAAACTGCAAAAAGGTATCATAATGCAATATCAAGACTAGTTAAAAGTAAGAAAAGGCTAGCTAAATGCTAAAAGCTAAAACTAACAAAAGGTTAGCTAAGAACTTAAAAATAGCCTAACAGTAGCTTAAAGTTAAAAGCATCAAAAAGCTATAGCTAGAACAGAAGTTAAAATAAGTCAAATGGTTGTTCGAAGTAGCAGAACGATAGCTAAAAGCTACCGATATACCAAACAATGATTCCAATGTTTTTCAAAGTGGAAAATATTCGTAAAAAAAGTTAAATACTTTGAAAAATAACAAAGTTATAAAAACCAAACGTTAAGTAGCCAACACCTTAATGAGTTGAATGTTTTAATGATGTGAATGACTAAAATGAGATAAAAGTATGCACAAGTAATTAGATTTAAATTGTTTTTAAAAAAGCAGGAAAACAATAGTTTAAATGCTGAATCAGCATTTTTGTTTGACACTTTAACTTATAACCAACAGGAAAACATCCTGTTTACTTTATAAGAAATATGAGTGGTACTCTTAACTTTATTTTATGTTTTAGAAACTAATAATAATAATAATAATAATAATTAATTAATAAAGAACATTTCATTCGTAGAATAAAATATTTAATCCAACACTGTGAGATTTGTAAGAAGAGGCTGGCTTTAAGGCACAGAATTGACCTTCCATTCATGCAAAAATGTGTAATTTCCTGCAGAATTAATATCTGGGGAGACAAAACAAGTAAGTAATTAGCACCGAGTCTCTGTCTGTTTAACCCAGCTAGACACTGCTGATGAGGCTGCCAACTCATCTCTACTTGATCACATTGAAAAAAGGCGAGAAGTCGTTGCTCCAAGTGACTGGAGGATTATTTATTTATGTGAGGCGCAAATTTTTACATTTTTTAAATATTCTATTGGGTTTTAATAGATCAGCATCATAAAAGCTCAGGTGAGGGGATGTTTGCAGCCTTGTGAGGTAAAATTCTCCGCCTCCAACGCCTGAATAAAGAGTCCTGGCAGCAGGGAGCAGCGGGGACGAGGCTGGTGATGAGGATGGAGGATGGGCTCGACTGGCACCGTGCCCACATGGGGTCCAGGGAAATAATGGTTGGGGGAGGGTGACAGAGAGGCCTCATCACCAAAGCTGGCACCGTCCTGTCAGCTCAGCGGATGCTTTAAACTCTGCTCAGGGCTTCCCAGCATGCCCTGCAACATCAGATGACCAGGATAATGCTAGTGTTGTGCGCAGGGTGGGCGTTTGTATCATATTCCAAAGAATGTTTGAGAAGCAGCTGCGGAGAGATGATCCCAGAAATCAAGACAGAAACCTGAAGAAATCCACCTTTTTTTCATCTCCTGAGTCGCAGTAATCAGTAAACTGATTGGTGCATGCTGCGTGTGCACACAGACACACACACGCTGTATGGATGTGAGGTTTTGTTGCATCAAATATAGGTTTATGTGTTCAGGTTTAGTGTGCGTCGCAGTGTTTGTGTGTTTGTTTCTGGAACGCAGCCATTCTGTTCTCTCTCAGGGCTCGTAACCACAGCAGGCCTCTGCCAGACCCTAACTACCCCCCCCCCCCCCCACACACACACACACTTCCCTCTTTCAGATATTCAACGTTGCATTTCAATCACTCTTTTACTGCCACATATTCACAGTAGTAAGTACAGAGCAGTGAATCTAACCCTGAGCCACATTACTTTATCAGATTAATGCTTCTGACTGGCTTCAAGTATTTATACATTTTCAGTAATTCATGCAGCCAATCTGATTTACTGAGAGATATTGTGTTTGCTCTCTGATAAAAAATCAGAATCATTATTCATGCTCCGTTCCTGTATGGTTCAAATGCTCCAAGAACGCTCCGTCTCCATTTAGCTTCAGGAGATGTCAGACTTGGAGAAAACAACGGCGTGCTGCTGGTTCGACTCCAGCGCCGGCTCTGCCAGAAACAGACCATCATTTTTTATTTTTTATTTTAATTTTTGCCTGCAGAAGCGGCGATGGTCTGAATAAGTTGGTATCAATGTTACTGGCTGTGTGGGGCTGCGGAGCTTTGTTTTCGTTAGCAGGGGAATGCTAGCCTGGCAGTGGAGCAGCTAATCATCAGCTGAGCGATGGGTGGTGTTCGCCGCGGGCCGGGGGCATTCCTCTGACACGACTTTAATGTCCTAACATCCCCGACACTTCCTGAGAGGAATGGTGCGGCGGGTGGGATCAGAGTCCCTGCTGTCACAAAACAAGCACCCTGGGAGCTCTGCGCACCGACTCCTCAGTGACCAGAAGAGCAGAGATCACCGTCGACCCCCCCCCACCCCTCCGTCATCCTCTCTCTATCTCTCCAACACTCACT